TTTACTTTTACTATGGAAGTCCCGCCCAAAGAGAATATAACCACTACGTTGTCCCGCTTCTTAGGCCCGCCATATACATACGGAATTCCGTTTCGAGATTCCGTTTCGGAATTTCGAACGGTCGGCCACACACAAACGGAATCCCGTTTTGCCCGCAAAATATCGAACGGAAAACCACCGTACGTGTGTGGCGGGTCATAGATTTTATATGGACTTGCTGCGTTCGGGATTCCGAATCGGAATATCGAAACGGAATTTCGAAACGGAATTCCGTATGTATGTGGCCGGCCTTAAACGTTGTTGTTTTTTTTTTATTATTCGCTCGAGAGAGCAGGCAAAGGAACTAAGCCATACAGCCTTGTCTTTTTTTATTTTGAATATATAGAATTTTAGAGTGTAAAGGCCGGAACCAAGTCTTATTTTTCTTCTTTAGTAGTAGTAATTAGTTTGTACCTTTGTACAGAATAATAAATTATTACGAGGAATACTGATAAAATATAATATTATGATATTATTATCTGAGGAAATGTTTTTGTGAGAACCCTTGCATATTTTTAGCGACTTGACGTCGAGATAGCCTTGTAGGTATTTTGTGATATAACAAAGGAGTTGACCCGCTATTAATATTCATTACCCATATGACACTGCTTTGAGTTTGATTGATTACATTTATACAAAAGCAAGAGCTCAAAGGTAAAGTAAGTGGAAGACTGTCTCCTTGTTCTAGTGGCGTGAATGTGATGCTGATCATGAGGTCTCAGATTCAAATCCTAAGTTGGGCGAAATCCAGTTATTAGCTTTTTCTGACAAGAAGTTCTCAGTAGCACCCAGGAGTCAGGAAGTTAGTGGTGTTCCGCCTCCATACTACGGAAAGCACTTAATGCTGTTGGTTCTGCGCCTGATCTCGCTCCGGTCGTGTCGGATTATTGTTCCATCGGACTGTGGAGTGAGGGAATAGCGAGTGACATTTGAAATAATTAATATATATTGATAATTTTGAATTTAATAACAATATTTAACTTTATGGCATTCCTTGGGGAAAGCCTATGTTCAGCAATGGACTTGTGAAGGGCTGTGAATGATGATGATGATGATTTAACTGTAGAACATTTCATATATTCGTGTTATCTTCAAAGCAGAACTAAAGAAATGTGAATGACATAAAAACCAAAATAGTTACAAAAAATCTATTCAAAATACTAAATATAAAAAATATGACTCCTCAATTCGATCATATTTAAAAAAAAACGCATATTTTGAAATGTTCCATTATTCTTTCCGACCGATTCAATAAATAATAATAATATGATTTGATTTAGTATATTTTCAGGGACCAAGTGGTAAAAAATAAATTGGCTCTACTGGCAGCACTGCTTACTTTAATGTCACATGTCATTTTAATTTCTACCTCCTGTTTTAGCTTTTTAATCTATGATTTTATGATTTTATCTTTGGTAATGTAATGTAGTACATAAACATTGTAATAATAATAAATCATAATATTTAGATTGGGCAAATCCGGATTTTTGCTGTACCAGTGAAATGAAGCATAATTACTTATTGCTCAGGTTAATTTATGTATTGAATTGGAACTTAGGTAATAGGATTTCATGTGAGAATTTTAATAGTTACAGACAGGTCGACGGGACTGTTTACAGGTTTTCTTCTGTTACAGACTTTTTATTTTTCTAGTGCAGGCACGCAGTGATTAGAACGAGTGCTTGTAGAAAGTGAAAAGTTAATTATTTGCAATTAAATTGGGCCATAATTCTAACTTTCTAACTGTAATGTGAAACAGCGACGGTAAGTTTCTCAGCTAAGAACAATTTAAAAGTATTTTTTTTTAAATAGTTTCATTGCAGTCTTTAGTAAGTATACATTGTAATATTGTGGAAGGTGATTAGTTTGTAGTGGTGTTCAAATATAGCTGTTTGTAACAACTGAGACAGGTACATTGATTTTTTTTTATAGAATGCTTAAATTAACATATATTATATAATTTTTTTATTACCTATATTACTTTTAACGATAATCAAGGTATTGTGTTCTAATATATACTAGAGTATATGGTCATTTTGAATGAGAGCCTAAAATTCCACCCCTTACACCCCCTCATTTTTGTAGTATCTTAAAAAGTATAATATCACCGAAGGTGTTCCATAGTCTTCAAATATAATGTGTTTTATAAAAATTAATAAAACTAATAATACATACTGAATGTATTTTTAAGATTATCTTTATTTTCAGAACATTCAATGCTATACAGTGTTTGTTATTTTAATCAAAAGCCTATGCAGCTAAATCTATTTTTTCCCTAAAATCCCGCCCACTATGTTGTTAATATGCTCTCAGAGGCCATCATCATACAAATTGGCTTGTGTCCATAAACCTCCTTATAGTTTTCTGGGATTAACTTGGCCTACTAAGTGTGATGATTTTGAGACTTTCTTGCAACTGTCAAAATTGTGTAATTGTGCAATTTGATTAACTGATTTCTTCCAAATCAGACCAGCTTTCACAGGTATACATTGTTGAGCGTTGGAAAAATTTAATCTTTATCAAATAGTCTCAAATTAGGGCTTACTGTATCTAATATAATTAAATTTCAAGAGCATGTTGTTTTGCTTGTGCACAGTCGTTTCCCGCAGTCTGTATGCTTAAACCTGTTAAGCTATACTACAGATTTTGATGCAGTTTTAATAAATTGATAAAATACATGCATAATAAACATTATATAATTCTTCTGTCCGTGTTCATGTGACTGAACTCCTCCTAAACGGCTGGAACCCAAAGATTTAGTTTATATTGCACAAGAAATAGTTTCTGAGAGCTAATAAAAGTTCAATTATATACTACTAATAAGGTAGGGTGCAGTATAACATTACATTTACCGAATGTAAGGATTTATTACTACTTACATTCGCTAAACGTAATTAAATAATTGTTATTACGCTTTCAGTTTAAAATTAAAAATAACAATATATTCAATTAGCTGGTAACGACCCGGCCGATGATGATGATGAAATTCAATAAATTAAGTTATGAAAGATTTGGAATACAGTTTTGCACAATTTTTTATTCACAATGTCATTGTAGGAAAGCTTGTTCATTAGCTGACTCTATGCACAAAATTCTAAAGTCTTAAGTTGTTTTGCAGATCTTAGATAATTCTTCACCCGTTTTAAGCAAGAAAAGCTTCTCTTATTCGAAATTTTTTGTCACTGGTGTACATAGAGTCATACGAACTGCTGTATCAAAATTTAGTAAAAAGTTTGGCAAATTATGTTTTCGTAAGAATGAAGATAAACTTCAATGATTCAGAATCAGTTTTCACTAAAATTCTTTAAGAAGAAAATCTCAAAATCATAAGGATACATTTCTTTCAAGAAAATAACGTTTTCCATTATGATTCACTCATTTTGCTATAAATGAAAATTCATTGATTCTGTTGTAGGTCTCCTGCCGTTTTTCTAATTCAGATATGCGTCTATCAATGAGGAAGGAAGAGAAATATGTAAACCCTGAAAATATCACTCGTAGTTATTCTCATTTCTTCATCGCGTGTTTCAACTTTTTTCATTTTCGGTTGTCGTTTTCTCTATTTCTTTTGTATAACTACTACTCTGAAACACTTAATTCCGTCGCCTTTTTTTCGAAATACTTAAAATTTTCTCACTTAGCTACGAAAAGCTTGCAAAAAGATTTGTAAAGATTGACAAAAGTGATTAAATCTACGGTAGAAAACTGAATTTGAACATTCAACTAATTATTTCCATAAAACATTCCTCACAACAACGAATACCGCCATTTTCAGTTTTTCTAAATTTAAATGTATTCCCCGTAGTGTCATTTCGCATTACAGGCTTTCCGGTACAATCATCCTTTATTGATTCCAAAATTTTAAAGGCTTCATACCAAGAATCTCTCAAACATGCACATGCCTACTCTCTAGATGACCAGCGTGTTACTCTCTTTAGCTTTTTCAGACATTTTATTTTTGCCAGCGTTGTGTCGAACTTACAAAAAAACGTAGATTTGATGAAGTAACATGGAGAAGCGACAAGCTTCTGTGCAACATTCAGCAGCCGCAGTAGCCACTAAATTTAAAGAGTGGACAGAGCATGGAATTAAAAAAAAATGCTTAGAGTTCCGAGATAATAGCAGAAAATATCTTTTCAGCGTTCCTTATGAAATTTAAATCTCTTTATTTCTGTAAGACAAAAGAAGAAGCCTCAAATTTGACGCCCCAAAAATCTGCCTCCCTAGGCTCTAGCCTACTCAGCCTGCTGGTAAATCCACCACTGGCAGTAAGTATTGGAATACTCTGCTCTCAAATAATGTCAACTTAATTAATTAATCAAATTTTAATTTGATTTTGAGAATAATGAAAAGAATAATGGAAGTGGACGAAGCGAAACAAGTATGTAAGGATCGTAGCAAGTGGAAGGAAGTGGTTTCTGCCTACCCCTACGGGAAAGAGGCGTGATGATATGTATGTATGTATGTATTTTGAGACATAGTACAATTAATTGCTGCATTATAACATTTATGATCATTTACATGTCTTACATGATATCATTACTTGGCTACCGTGTAGAAATAGCATATTATATTATTATTTTTTTCATCATTACAATGTCAGCATAAAGGTGAGATAATGCAATGTCAATAAAATATTATCTTGAAATTATTAACACATAGTGAATAAGGTGATAACAAAAGTTTTCAATTATTGTGAACAATAATAATATAAATAAGAAATTGGAGATTTAGAGAAAAAATAAATAAATTCAATCAACATACAGTGTCACTTTTGTACCTAATCTATTTTATATTATACTATTTTATATTCAAATTATATTTCTTTTACAAAAAAAAAAATACAATGAACTAGGGGCCACTGAGTTCAAGTTCTGTTGAATTTGTTAATATTTAATAGTTTAGTTGTAATTATTCTCTGGCAGCTTGTTAAATATTATAGTTACAATTTTAGATAAACAATGGAGAAAGCAGGCAACACTGCGTCCTTGCGCAGCATAGCATCACATTGGAGCTTGGCTGGGGACAAACAGCTACTTAATACTTTACAAGATATTCATCAGGTGACCTACATATTGTAATTTTGATCTTGTTCAATCCTTGAATATTTTTGAGTATCATGTATGCACATCACTTAGCTAAGATTTACTCTTCTTCTTCATCAGACCGTAAAATACTGATCCTCTCCCATTGTTGAGATTTGCCTTATTAGTAAAGCTTTGCCGGCGGATGGTATTTAGAATGATTGAAAGATTAATTAATTTATTAAAAGACCATGTTTAAAACTTAAAATTGCACTAGCTTACGTACGTTCCACATCTGGTCACAGGCCTTCTCTCATTTCTGAGAGGATTTTGTGGAATTGTCTTTGTATTCATCACCAAGTACTTGGTAAATCATTAAAAATTTTGTTGGAGCTGGGAATCTTAATCGGTTTGCTTGCAAACTACGAAATTACGAGCCCCAGATGGTTTGCTTTTCGGCTTTCTATTCACTTCTAAGTAAATTTTAGGTACACTTTATTTATTTTTGACTTTAACTAACCTAAAATATGTTGTTGTTTGCAGAAAATAATAACCCGATGCCAAGAAACTAACACAATATTGGAAGAAATGATAACCTCACTCGATGGCGCCAACATAAACATGCAGAATGTCAACAATAGGTAATTAAATCAAATTTAATTGAAGCTTGGGGTACTAATTTAACTAAATTTTCAAATAATATATATAAGACTTAAATTTTAATAAAATAATAAACATGATTATCTTAACAGTAACATGCGTAGGTAGTACATATTGTTAGATAACAGGTGTAACATTAAACTCTCGATACAGTAAATAGCTTAAATTCCTAAAGTGGGTTTCGCGGAACTTAAGGGTTCAGTGGAAAAGTCACCAGAGTTCCGTGAAATTATTTTCTTGTTAAATAATGTCACACATTGCTGCAAATATATTTTGAATTGGTGGAAATGTGGAGAGAAGAACCCATTACTGCTATATAGATATGTAGGTAGTTAGTGAGAATTATTTTATAATATTTCACTTGCACTGTCTATGATATGTAATCATTAAATGATTCAATTCAACCCCACAATAAATTTTATTGTGGGATTCCATAAACTAATAAGGATTTGGTGAGTGTTCCATTACATTAAGAGTCTGGGAACTCCTGTATTACATTATGTTTTTCGGAAAATAATTTTACATTAATTTTTTGACATGTGTTTTAATAAAATTGAGGCGACATCAGGTTTACAGCCCAGCCCTGCCTACTGCAGTCAATGGACATCTGCAATCAACTTCAAACCAATAGGGCTAGAGATGAGTTATCTGAGGATATCCCATAGATTGTCACACTTGACGGGCGGGTTAGCAACCACAGTTTTTTACTTAATCTTTTGTTTTAGTTTCCCTCTGTCGCCCCTTACGACACCAATGAGACGATATGGAGTGATGGATTATTTGGTGACGGTGTAACACATCTTCACTGGCCTCCTCTCATTTCTGAGAGTGTTTTCGCGCTAACTATTACTTGATAGCATATGGATTATTATTTTGTAGGTTCATGGCTCTGAGCACCAGTCAATTTGTTGAAAGTCGAGTCTACGACGACGACGTGGATGTGACGACCGGAAACTCACCAAAGGTATCTACCGAATTTCTTAAGAAATTATTGATTCCAAATCCCAAAAGATTATACTTTGTTTCTTCACTATATGCAGGGTTATTTTGCAATAACTGGCCAAATTTGCAGAGAAGGTTAAGTATAAGTAATATAGGCAAATTGTGAAGAAAAATTAATAAAAAAAATCTCAAACATGATTTTCATCAATAACCCTTATATACAAAATGCACCAGCAAATAAAATTGTATATAAAATATGTAGATTAGGTACAAAAATGACACTATTTGCATATTTCATTTTTATACCTAATCTACATATTTTTTTACTTGGTAGAGCCACACTGCAGCTATATTAGTAGTATAGTTGTAGCACGAATGGGTCGGCTCGACCGGGGAAGGTCCACGCTCTCACAGAATACCAGCATAAAATAACAGCTCAATGCTGATGTATTTCGTATGGTGAGTGTAGAGAACTGGAGACCCTTTTTACTGCAAAAGAGGCGTTCCATCTTAGTCCTCACGGGTGACAACGCATTTGTATTTTGATTCGCAAACGAGGATGGATGTAGATGTCTATGGGCCACAGCAACCACTTACCATCAGGTGGACTGTGTGCTCGTTTGTCACCCTATCATATTAAAAAAAATTGATTAATCTTCTTTTTTCTAAATCATTAGTTTATTTTTTTCTATTGGTAAGTTTTATTTTTACTCACTGTGAAGTTCTTGGTAAAGGTGATTTTAGTACGTAAATCTATTCAAAATTTTGTTTTATTTATTTAAAATAAAAAAATCTTTTGTTAAAGCATGAAAAGCCTACAATTCAAACAGAGCCGGAGTCAGAACTTGCAAAACTGAAGCAGAGCCTCAAGATTCTGGAAGATATGCACGAGAGCGTCCGCATTCTCGACAGTGATAGCGGGTCTGATACGGATGATGATGATGGCAGGTATGCTTACTAAAAACCCCATTTTGAAAAAAATCTAACTCATTTTGAAACAATCGCTTCAAATTTGTCAGACCCAAATTATTTTTTTATATACCAACTACTGTGATGATGGTTTTGTACAATAATAATATTAGTTAAATCTTAAAGCTCACTTGAAAAAGAAGACTAGTTTCCAGTAATGAAATTTCTATAATTTTCTTTGCAGAATGGTTTACAAACCTAGAGATTTGTATACCCAAAGACCTCTACCTCATATCATTGGATCGTATGCTTGGAAAAGTAAATGGCACGCTGGTAAGTCATCCTGCAGAATTTTAACAGCTATCTTTATATATATATATATATATATTAAGATTGACTGAACTCCACCTGCAGGGCTATTCACAATCGTCTCGGAAAGCGAAATCGACTCGGATTCGATAACTTCTCGCACCGAAACCAATAAACGCTATTAACATTTAACGTTCGGATAAAGGTCACTTAGATACATCCTATAACTATTGTATCGTCATTTAGTTACATGCATTTACGAATTTTGTAGATAAATAGGCTTTTGTAATTTTTTAGAGTAACGCCTGCACAAAAACATAATGCAATATTTTGGAGTTAGCCATTGATATCGAATATAAAAAATATATAATTTAACTATATAATAAATAACAAAAAAACTGAGATATGTCTCGTTTCTGTCGGGTCTGGGTTTTTTTCTATGGGGCGTTCTTTGACGTTTCTTTTCGATAATTGTGACAGTTTGCATCGGAAACTTTACGAGAGCTCTGAGGCTGGCGAAAACTTTTCGAATATTGATGATTAGAAGAGATAAATAAACCCTTTTAATTATAAGGTAGGTAACAAAAATTAATTACAATTATCTATAAGACGTATTTTCATATAATTACTTCAATATTTACACTTAATCGTAAAGCTGAATTTTTGTGAAAGGTGTGTTTTTATAAGTTTTCTATCACAAATATATATATATGCTGCTTTGTGAAACGAGACATATCTCAGTTTTTTTGTTATTTATTATAAAGTTAAATTATATATTTTTTATATTCGATATCAATGGCTAACACTAAAATATTGCATTATGTTTTTGTTTAGGCGTTACTCTAAAAAAATACAAAAGCCTATTTATCTACAAAATTCGTAAATGCATGTAACTAAATGACGATACAATAGTTATGGGCTGTATCTAAGTGACCTTCATCCGAACGTTAAATGTGAATAGCGTTTATTGGTTTCGGTGCGAGAAGTTATCGAATCCGAGTCGAATTCGCTTTCCGAGACGATTGTGAATAGCCCGGCTGAACGGCTGGACCATTTCTGATGAAATTTTGTGTATGTGATTAAGCTGATTCGAAATTGGTGCCAGTAGGTGGTTCTGTTATCGAGATTCAGAAATCACCCGTGCGAAGCCGGGCGGATCGTTGTTTATCAAAAGTTTTAGTACGTTTTTATTACTTTGAATTATTTTGACAGTTTATTTAAAAAAAAAAAAACAAAGCACATACGATACTTTTAGTATCAGCGATTTTGCGGCTGCATTGCATTTTAACGATTTAAACGCAGTCGCTGTCAATACTATATTGAAATCGCATTGGATCGCGTTTGGGCGACATGCTGCGTTTGATCGTGCTGTCATACCAGATATGATAAAATTTTCTTGAAATGTGGTGTATTTGTTATTTATTTATTTCGTATACGTTTAAAAATACGTCATATATTACAAAGAGACAAACAAACGAAAGAATCGTTTGTCTCTTTGTAATATATGACGTAATGAATTATTCTCTTCAAAAGTAAGACGTAAGCTGGTTGTATGTAATCAAATAGGTACCGCCTTCGGTACGCTTGTTAATTTTACTTTAATAATATATATTGTTACGAGCTTGAGGTTCGAGACAATTAAAAACTGCTGATTGGATTACCAAAATTGACACTTTAATTACGGATACTAATTACACCTTAAAACACACTAATAATAAAACACAATAATTTTACTGATCACTTAAGTTCGCAGTTGTTTCGCTTCGAAGTATTCTCTTGTATCGCCAATTCAATACTGCCTTCGTCGTGGTCTATACTGGCCTTATATAGGGCATCAGCTAGTTTCCAGAACCTTCTACTGTAGCGACATCTAGAATGTTCGAGTACATATCGGTCCCGAAGGATCTTGACTCTCCTAGTTCTGCTACTCGACACTAGAGGGCGCTAGTGTAACTAATGTTGCCATGTACAAAACATTAATAGTGGCGCGCAACAATATTTAATAACATTGAAGGACATCTCCTTGCCCTAAAACCCTCTCATTAATGAGAGAAGGCCTGTGTCCAGCAACGGGACGTATACAGGCTAATGTAACTTTAACTTCTTCCCAGCTTCATTAGGATCTATAGCTTCGTCAAGATCCAGTGCAACACAGAGCAGTGTCCCGCAGATACCAGTTTCACTAAATTGCTACTACTATTTGCGGAGTGTAGTGTTCAGTCGCTCCATTGAGGTTCCAAGAATAGCTGAAAAGAATTCATAAATATACATACAAAAATAATCATATATGGAAATATATATGATTATTTTTAAATGGAAAGTTAGCTCCGATAACGACGCGGGGCCAATACAGAAACCAATATTTATCGGGGTTCCTCTAAAAATCAGCGCTGCTGCAGTACCTGCGGTAACATATGCTGAGTCGGAATCCTATATAGCATCACATCACTCGCTATTGCTATGATTTATTTTTATTTATGTTACCCTTCTTGTACCTTGTATGTGTTTTATTTACTTCTGAATGTATTCTATGTGAGTGTATTGATGCAAATAAAAGACATGTATATGTCTAAATGACTTTATCGCCACGACTGTAGTTTTCATGTGTGCGGAATGAAGCGTTTGGACGCTGCATCTAGTTTCCGAAAAGCACTTAATTAACTGATCGCTTATACTAAAACTATAGTGTACTCTAACTTTACTCATCGTTACGATCTCGAACAGTTTTGAATTTAACAATATTTCCTTATTATTATAAGTATTATTTACGTAATCTGAATAATTAAGTCATTTTGTTTTTAACACAAAGTAAATTTAATTATAATTTCTTTTCGGAAAAAAATTATGTTATTATATGTCATATTCCTTTTAGGCATTATTCCAGAGGACAGTGACACCGACAGCTCTACATCAAAGCCAGGCGACGCCATGTTGGAACAGTACTCTGAATCCGAATCTGAGCAGACGGATACACGGACTGACAAATTGCACCCGCCTCCGAGAACGGTATGTTACACCAAACATTTTATAAATAGTAAGTAGAAACTTAGTCCCGTGTAGTGGCGGGCAAGAATACCCACTACCCCATATCTTCCCGTGGGCGTCGTAAGAGTCGTCGGAGGGAAACTGATGCAGAAGATGGGCAGCAGGGCAACAGCAAAATAAATAATAAAAAAACTGCGGTTGCCAACCCGCTCGCCAAGTGTAGCAACTATGGCAATATACCCCTTGGGGGAGGCCTATGTTCAGCAATGGACTTGTGAGAGGCTGCTGTAATGATAGAGAAATTTATAGTATTAGAAGTATTAACAGTGGCCATTACAGAATGGAGCTCTGTATGACGTCAACAGACACCTGTTAATTGTACCGTCGAGAGGAGGTTCATGCAACTTTACGATAGATTTGATTATGTCTGAATTTCATTTAAAAAATTTAAATTTGAATATATATTTATTTAGCCCTCCAGCAAGGAATGTCACAAAGCACGGTTCGAAGCCACCTGTATCGATTTTCTGAATCTCTTATCATGTCATAATCTAGTAGACTGTAGACAAGCTAGGGAGGCCCTGCCTGAAATAAACAGTCGCTTAACCAAAGTTTTAATGAGACTGAACAAGCCGCAGATCAGGATAGTAACAAGTGCTATCACAGGACACGGCACCTTTAACAAACATTTATTTACTATAGGTACAGGGCTAAGCATCTCGGCACGCCGGGATCATTCCCCGAAGTTGCATGCAACATCAAGGGACTGTTGAGCTTCTTCGGGGAGATATCATGGCTCGAATAATCACATTATTCCTGCCCACACGCAAAATACGCGCATAGACGTGGAGTTACGGAAAACAGCCCGTCGTAAACTAAACTAAACTAAACTATCATGTCATCACTCCATCTAGTGGGAGGGGGCTCTACACTTCGCTTATCTGTACGAGACTACCACTCGGGAAACTTTCTTCCCCATCGGTTGTCGGTTCTTCGAACTTTATGACCGGCACCTTGCCACTTCAACTTATCGATCCGTTGGGCTATGTCGTTTACTCTGATTCTATTGCGGATATCCTTATAAAAAAGTCTCATGCAGAGAATCTCTGAGTATAGCCCTCCATAGTTCGTTGAGTGACCTTGAACTAATTATTTTGGCAGTGGGTTTGTGACGAGCTATAATTATGATGATGATTATTATTATTTAGAGTATATTATGACCAAAATTATTGTTAAAAAACGAGATCATCCCGAGGGTGACGTAAGAAGCGACAGAGGGAAACATAATAGGAGATGGGTAGCAGCGTCTTCTTAATAACGACTAAAAATAAAAACCTGCGGTCGCCAACCCGCTCGCCAAGCGTGGCAACGATGGCTAATATCCCCACTGTGAAAAAATGGGTAGAAAGAAGGCTGGGCTTATATTTATCAGTAGAATTGATAGGCTGTAAAGGTTACGGAAACAGAATCTTGTAAAAAATAAATTGATCAAATAATATTATTCACTCGATAGTTTTTCTGTCTAAACTAAATAACTGCCATGTAGTTCCATCATTACATTCAGAGCTGTTTCAAACTGTTAAAATCCGCCAGTCCCACAGATTATTATTGGTGTTTTAATTTTCAAACCCACGACCCATACATTATAATAATTATCAGTAGGGCCATGTCATTTTCTTTTGTAGACTGCTTCTGACCATAGGTAGATTCGGGAAGTTAAATGAAAGAGTATTCTTTAAGAAACAGAAGCTACTCATGTGAAGTGTTGCTTGAAGGTTGTAGGGAACCGTGACGTGTTAAGAAGATGACTGTTGAGCCAGTAATGTCAGAAGTCAGCGGCGGCACGCCTTTTATTATGTGCTGTCGGTAGCGCAGCTTGTGTGGGCGTACACGAGATAGCTTTCAATCGACCAATGAGCGGGGTCGGAGAGGAACCGGGGGGTCGAGTGTAGTGTGTGTGTGTGTGTATGTTATGTAGCATTTATTTAACAAAAACATAAATTTCTTATATACAATAACTCTTAATTATTTTAGTTAACAACAATAAAACATCAATCAACTTACATACTACGAGTAGATAATCATATGACATACAAGACTAAAACTTAAATAACAATTTAAATCTAACTAAAGGATATTTTTACATAAACAATGTCTTAGATCTAAGCTGTTATTTACAATAATTGTACACATAAAGAAACAGCCAACATATTATGTTCTACTGTTGGCAGACCTCCCATTTCTGAAGGGATAATGGAGCACAAAAGCGCCGGTACGGCAGCTTACTGCATGAAACAGTACAAATCATTTTCTTTTTCGTTTTTAGACATACAAGATCCTTATATTAAAATTTTCATTGTTGGTGCAGGCGAGGATCTAAAATAAACTAAAGGGAAAACAAACGTATAACAATTGTTACAGCTTACGATAGTTATTAAAACTTAAGACATTAATATGTTTTTTTGTCAGATCTCATCGAGCAGTTCTGTAGTGGATTCGGAGCCAAGTGGTCCAGCAGCTCCGGTCAGTCAAGCTGATATTGCGGCTGAGTTGGCGCGCAAATTGGGCGGGAATTTGCCTGAAGTAAGATGTTAAAGTATATAACAAGAACAAAGAACTGCCTTCCTAGTTAGTTATGACATTTAATCAAGTAAAACACTGTTTTGTTTGAGGGCTCCGTGGCGCAGTGGCTTAGCAAATCAGTTGTTGCGCTAGGGGTCGCGGGTTCGAATCCCGCACGGAACAAGTATTTGTATGGCCTACAAATAATTGTTTCGGGTCTGGATGTTTGTCCTTGTGCAATTTATGTTAGTACTCAATTGAACTGTATGTTTTTTTTTGTATGTGTGTTACCTCATAACTTTTTACTGGGTGAACCGATTTCGATGATTCTTTTTTTATCTGAAAGCTGGTACTTCTCGTGTATTCCCATATGAATTTGATTCAGTTCAGACTAATAGTTTTTGAGTTATTCGTAATAACTTATATTGAAGTCGACTGTACAACATTTTTAAAGTATAAAGGGTGAGAACACATCTGTATCTTTCTGTGTTTGAAATTTATTGTGTGTTACATAGCCATTTAGCATCATGTGTATGATGTGTAGTTCGTTTGATGATTTAAGGTTAAGGCCATTCATGCTGTTGAATATATTTTTTAATTTTATTTAACCTTTAGGTGCATGCGACATCAGCTGAACCAGAATTCACATCTCCTGATCCGATCCAGAAAAAAATTTACAAACCACAGAAACCTGAAACATGTAAGTAATAGATTGGCAACAAAAAACCATCATCTCATATGATGGATCTACGATGATGCATGTATAATAATAATTTAATATATCACACTATCAATATTCAATATTTATTTGCATTCCATAATGTACAAATTAATAAATTAAATTATCACAATATGGACCCTGTTGGGTATAGCAAATTAAAAAATTAGAACAGAGGAGGACGCAAAGATGTTTTATAATTCATTATTATTATTATATCATTCATTATTATTATATCATTTATTATTTTTAGTCCATAATTATTCATATTAATCATTAATTTATTTATAGTATTGCATTTGTCATTCAGGTATTCATATAAAGTATAATAACATTTATTGATTAGAAACACTTTTAATTGTCTTATAAAAATGTTATCATTTGTTTAGTTTTTTAATGAGTTTGGTAGTTTATTATAGACAGTTATGGACATTGCGTAAGGGCCTGATGAGAAGAGCTTCATTTTAGAGGGTGGTAGCAATAATTTATTTTCATGTCTAAAACTATAAGCCGTATTTTTATTTTCTCTTTGTACGTATAAATTATTTTCGCACAAATTTGTATAATTCCAATATATAAATACAACTTAAGGTACGTAGTTTAAGTTTCTTAAATGAGGACACCAATTTTCAGTATTTTTTATGTTAGACATAATGCGAATTAGCTTTTTCTGTAAGATGAAGATGGTGGGTGCATGTGTACTGTTGCGCCACAGGATAATACCAAACCTTAGCCATCACTATAACTGCAGTCCATAGCAAGTCTAAAGCTGAACATAGGCCTTGAGGTCTAGTTTTGTATCACCAGCAACGCAAAATCAGGAATTTGCATTTAGGAAAACCCAGAATTAGGGGCTTTTTAGGTGCTGATTAGGTGCCAAGTTTAAAAATTTGTTGCTCTAAAATTTTCACCGCAATGAACTGTTGAAATTTGCGTTGCTAGCGAGACGTTTTGCTTAAACTTGGTACTTAATTAGCACCTAAAAAGCCTTCTAATTTGGGCTTTTTCTAAAAGCATTTTTGATTCTATTCTGATTTTCAGAAAACCTGAATTTTGCATCTGCTTTGTTCTGAATAACGACTTTATTTTTATTAGGGGCGCCTTGTCATTGCCTATACTTGCAGCACCTAATTAGCACTTAATTCCTTGCTATTAATATTTACCGTATATCTATTATCGTCACTGCGTTGCAAGCGATACGTTTTGCTAGCTGCGCAAATTTTAACAGTTCGTTGCGGTGAAAATTTTAAAGCACCTAATTTTTAAACTTGGCACCTAATTAGCACCTAAAAAGCCGCTAATTTTGAATTTTTCCAAATGCAAATTCCCGACTTTGCGTTGCTGGCGAGACACAACTGTCAGCTTTCACACATAGAATACATAGAAACCACAAATTACAATCCTGAGCCACTAAATATACCAAACCTTAAATATTGCAAACAGCATTTACTTTATTGATATTGATATGTATATCTTCTTATCCTCTATCATTTCATATTTTGACGTTTGCCATAATCTTCATGTTTGAAAAGCGGATGAGCTATCGCAGAACTAAATATTTCACGCTATGAAGTATAAAAAGTTCACTAATTCGATTAAGTTCTAAAACGGTTGCTTTGATATAATATAACCAAATATATGTATAATGATCTTCCTACTGGTTCTGACCATGGAGACTTTGTAGCATCAGAAAAAATCTAGGGGCATTTGTTATTGCTTGTAAGCGAAGTCAGAGGCACTTGGCATAATATCGAAGTAGCCTTGCCTATCCTACAACTCCTAAGTAGAAAAAATTGCCGCTAGGTCAAGCAATCATCGCAAGATAATCTAATCTTTTAATATATTTTTTCAACAGCCACAATTTTCTTTGACGAGCCGCCACCTTTAGAACAAACCTCTCAATCAGATAAAGAAGAGTACGACTATGATGAAGACGACGATATATTTGCCGAGTTACACAGAAAGAAACCATCCTCCTCTACTGCGAAAGATCAAAGTCGTTTAAACGAAGATTTATTTGGCGGTTTAAATAATTCACGAGATGTTGTTGATGATATACTTGGTATAGATAAGAAAAACTTGAGCATACCTAATAAAAATGGACAAAATATTGAACAAAGTAATGAAGCAGAAAAGGTATTTCATGTTTTTAAATGAGCACATATCATTCATAGGTAGATTTTAATTCTAGTAGGTTTAGATCAAAGTTAAAGATTTATTCATTTATTTTTCTTTTCAGAAACCCATCGGTGGTATATCACTTTTTGGATCTATTAAAGGAACCGAGAGAATCGGAGCAGCAATTTTAAATCGTAATCGACGTAAGTCGTACAGTTCAGATGAACAAAGTGAAAATGAAGCATATAATAATAAACAGAACCTTCCTAAAGAAATTCAAAAGGGAAGTGCCTCCAAATCTAGTGAGAATGTAATCAAAGATAACAAACAAAATATTATAAATAAATCAAACGAAACTGAAATTGAAAGAAAAACATCTTTGAAATCTGAGAAAGACGTGCTACGAGATATTTTTGATAAAAAGAAAAACTCTAAACTCAGCATCGAAAATACGATACCAAAACAAGATCCAGTTGCAAAAGATAATAAAATAGATATATTTAGTGATAATATTTTTGATGATGTTGATAATATCTTCACGGATAATATTGTTAAAGCGCCTATAAAGGAGGCTGATAAAAATGCTAAGTCAATATTTGATGATGATGATGACGATGACGATTTATTTGCCGACATTGCAATAACACAACATAAAACATCGAACTCGAAAGGCACTCATAACAAAGTTGAAGGTTTATTTGATAGTGACAATGATGATGATTTATTTTCTGACACGCCTAATAAATCTTCTGTCCAACAAGCAGCCAGTATAAAGTCTGAGAATGAGAATCCAGGAAGTAGTGCTATATTGATCAACAATAAAGACACTAAAAGTCTATTTGATGACAGCGACGATGATATTTTCTTTAATGTCAAAAGTAGTTCAAGTAATGGTATGAATGAAGTCAATTTAAATCAAAGTAAACAAGAAGGGGAACCAGATAATGGTGTAGGTATTACTAAAGATGTAAACTTAAGTAAAGATGGTGATAATAATAACTTATTTTCTAGAAATAATTTAATAGAAAGTAGTGAATTAGGTAATAATACAGAAGAAAATACCATTATTATAAGTAGAAGCTCTGAACAAATGATTGATAAATGTAGTAGTGAGGGAGTCATCAATTCTACTTCTGATAACCATAATGTCTCCTTAACTCCACACTTAAATTCTGCTCATCAGAATAGTGAATATAGTCCTGCATTGTTTGACGATGAAGATTTCGATGATTTATTCTATAATAAATGTGAGAAAGAAAACAAATTTGGTAGCATTTATCCTAATAACACAGATTTGAATTGCGAAAAAGAAAATGAGTCAAGAAATAGCACGATGAATATAGAAAGTTTGAACAAGAAAACTGAAGATATGAATATTATTGGTAGTATTAAGTCAGAAAATAATAAATCTGATATGTCGGAAATCGTAACATCGGCTCATTCAAAACCAAAGGATGATATTTCTCCCATAACTGTACAAGAATCTCATAATGATAATCTTGGAGTTAGTAATAAAAATGACACATGTGACGATAACATGGATAATTCACATTTGCCTCAAACGCCACTATTCCACAAACCAGATATTTTTAGTGATATATTTAACGATGTTCCTCCAGATTTCGAAAAACCAAAGGAGTCTAAAAAAAGTAAAAATGTAAATGCACTTTTTGATGACGATTCTGATGACGAAGCACTATTTTTTAAAAAAGACTATACTATCTCTGATGAGAAACCTGATCTGAGTTCTCCTGCGAAACATGATCGTTTGTTTACGATATTTAGTGATGAACCTCCAGCTATTGACGTGAATGTTACTCAAAAAAATAACGATGATCAAGGCACTGAATATGAAGATTATAAAAAGCTTGATTTAAAGGAATCAGATAATTCATTTATCCAACCTTTTCAAAATGAAATAAATGATAATAAAAAGCAGAGTATCTTACAACAGAAAGAAACAGACATTACCGATGATCTCCCCGAAAAAGTTATTAATTCTGAAAATATAAAATCTGTAGGAAAATTAAAAGCTATGAATTTAAATATTAATGTAAACACGTTATTGCCTGGTGCTTCTCCAAAAAAATATAAGCCTATTGAAGAAACTTATGATCAAAACATTTCTACAACAGATATTGATACGAACTCTTTAATGAAAAATACTGAATCAAAATTTGAGAAATCGGTTAGTTTTGAAGAAGATACTAATTCAGAGTTGCTTGATAATAAATTCTCAAAAGAAAGAGCTAAAATACAAGTCAAAAGACGCCCTTCAACAAGGAGAGCTCGACGCGAGGCTGTTAAGAAATCTGAAATTGAAGTAAATTTAAGTAAAGATTCAACAAATAATTCAAGTTCTGTAGATGATCCTGTTGCAACACCGGATGAAAAAGTTGAACGTATGACATATCAAACTGATGAAAAATCAAGTAAAGTGAAAGATGTTAAATCGAAAATTGTATATATCTTAAACGATGAAGACATTTTTTCGAATGTAAATAGTGACAAAACCGTTTCTCAAATTTCAAAGACGTGTGATTTAAATAAATTAGAAAATCAACAGCATTTTGAAAATAATACTACTGTGGATTTTGATGATGTTGACGATCTTTTTAGAAATGTTAAGGTTCCTAAAGCTGAAAGTTCTGCTGTAGTTAATTCAACCGAGAACGTAGAAATTTCAAATAATATGATAAGTAACTTAAGCAGTGTTACTAATGTAATGCCTCAAAATCGTAAAGTAGACAAAGAAAACAGTAATGTTTCTATCAAAGCCGAAGCCAATAATGATGAACCCAGTAAAACTAAAGTGTCTATTTTTGATGATATGAGTGATGAGGAAACTGAACTTTTCTTTAGCAAAAAGCCAATGGTTTCAAAAACAAAAAACATTTTTGGGTCGGATAGTGATGAAGAGCTTTTTGCAAACAAAAAATCGACGGAACAGCTCGTAGATAAGCTAAAACCGACAAATGTAAAAGTGGAAGTGAAAAAATCGCTTTTTGACGACGACAGCGACGATGAACTATTTGGCGGTAAAAGGAATAGTACAGGTAAATTAAATTTTATTATTGTTTTTGGCGAGATAAACACATAAAAATAATCTTTTCAATTTATATTGATGCTAATTATGTCTTTTAATATTGTTAGTGATGGATTTTAAGAATCCACTACACCATATTTTCTCGAGTGTGTCGTAAGAGGCGACATAGGGATATTAAATAGCTGGTGGGCAGTAGCATCTTCCTGAAAACAACTCTAAATAATGAAAGTCTGCGATAGCCAAGCGTGGCAACTAAAGGACATCCTCCATATGAGACAATGTACGGGGGAAGCCTATCTTTAGCAGTAGACATTGATAGGCCGTAATGATGATAAATCTGATGATGTACAAAGCACTTATTTACATAATGTAAAATAGTGAAAATCCAAAATTGCACGCCTCGTGAGCATTTTTATTTTTTTCTAAAATATCTTAAACGGTGTTGAACTCAATAACAAAAATCGATAGGGATCCTCCTTATAAGATATGGAATCTTATTTAATACTATATATTATCTCAATCTATTACTTACATTTTTATTAAGCCAGAAGACTCACCGACACACAGACCAACGGGTGGCAGTCCATATATTTTTTTAATTACATTTTTTGTTATGTAATCTAAAGTAAATCAATTAGAAAATAAACTAATCTTATAATTAATGGTCTGTAGTTATCTATACGTTAATAATAATATGAATTTGATGTCTAGCTAGAATTATAATAACGACTTTTTGCCACACCATAGAATCAAAATGTTTTTTTTTATTGTATCAAATTAGTATCATGTTTACAACACACTATCTAACTAGCATATATCCTGAAAAACATCATGTATTTTTCTGATTTTCTTTACTGCAATGGATCATATACCTTAAGGCATTATAAAACATGCGTGTAGCTCCTGTAGTCCCCTTAATGATAGCTATCTTATAATAATTTTCAGGTAATAATCCATTATTTTCTAAAGTAAAAGAAGAAAAACCATCTCACACACAGTCTGTTATTGAGGATCCATTGTCAATTATTACAGAGGATGATTTCAACAATGACGTATGACTTGGGAATATGAACTGCAAAATTGTATCATAAAATACTACTTGAGTGAGCCGTTTGGATCTCTTAATAAAAGTGCTCATTTTTTAACAAGGGATATTGAATGTGTTAGAAGCCTGTATAATTTTATTAATGTTTAATTATTTTTAAGTTCTAGTTTAATTCAATTTATATGAACAAAATAAAATTAAATCGTAATGATTCTCAAGTGCAATTGATAAAATTAATCATTCCATTATATTAAATTGAATTTGTATATTTTATATCAAATATATTTTATTATAAATAGTTTACCAAGACGCAAGGCGGTAAATATTTATTGTGGGCGTAAAAATATAAATCAAGTAAAATTAATTTAAAAATGTAGAATTAAAGATTTTTCAAGATAGTATTTTTATCTCGTAATATTTTTTTGCAATACCAGGTTTTGGGAATGTAAATCTGTTAATGATCTTTACTTTTTGCTTTCTTATTTTAGTAGAATGCATATTACATACTAGCGATATCCACCCCGGTTTGATCCACACCATATGCAGGGTCGAAATGTGAATCTAAACCATCTAACCCATTCAAACACACACAAAAAATTCATCAAAATTGAGTTTTAGCGAGAGTAACGGACAGCAATTGATTTATATATATATATATATATATTGTAGATTTACATTTTTCACTTTCGATCATGCAGTCACTTGACGATAAATTGGCATATAATTAATATTAAAAAAAAGTGAAAAAATGTCTAATGAAGAAAAGTTCCTAAAGGATAAATAATGCTTCTTAATTTTTATTTGTTGTAATTAAAAGAGTACAATAAAGACAATAAGAACTTTAAGCTTAAGCTACTCAATTCAAGTCATAAGTATACAAAATTATTTAATATGCATTTTAAATAATGATTTTCTTAAAATTATTAAATACTTTTGTATAATATTTGTGGTACGTACTGTGATATAAATTAAATTAACCACTTTCAATAACAACTTTATAATTTGTCTGTGTTGAGCCACTCACGAAAGTTTTATATCAAGACAAAATGATTATTAATGAAGTTTCAATCATGTAATAAATGTATAAATTTGTTACTTTGAATTAAATATTTGTTACAACTCTATAACACATCTCAAACGTAGTTTAATTGTAATAGTGTTTGTAGGCAACTATACAAAAAGATACTGCAATGCCTGGAATAGTTTTTTCACCTAAGCAGTTTGCTCAATAATATAATCTTAAATTTACTCAAGTGTTTCTCAATAAACACAGTAAATTCATGTTAATAATCTGTTATTGTTATTTTTAATAAAGTCATACGTAAATATTCAAATGCCTATTTTAAAACTTCATTTTGTTTAAGATTAAGTAATGGAGAAGTACTTTATTGGAAACTACTGTTAAATTTGTTATTATAATTTTGTTAGGACAACTGTACACAAAGTCAATAACTGCGATATTGTATGGTTTATTGTACGTAGGTAATTTATTAACTACATTTTAGTGTTTGTAATCGTATTTAAAGCTTATTGTAATATGTGATTATTATCTTATAATGTTGAATTGAAAATAAATTTTAATGCTGTATATAATATTTTTATCATCATTATATACATGTCTTGCTATTATTATTATGGGGTGTTTGTATAGTTTACTCATCTGATTGGGCTGTATAAATATATAATTGCAAATGAAAATGATAAACTTACATAAATATCAATAATCAATAAAATAAAATAAATACATAAAAATTACATAAATATATAAAAACCCAACCAGATGGAACCCCTCGGTAGAGGAAACCAAACGGCCGAGGGTTAGGAGGAAAGGGAAAGAAACCGGCGGACGATGCGGGCGGTATCGAGGAGCACCGCCTTCTGCATTTGAGCTTGGAGCGGTCTGTCACGGAGTCCCAGTCACCTCATATGACCCGAGAGGCTGACTGGGATTAACCCGTTCGCAGAAACGACTACAGGTATAATTTCGGCCGGCAGTCCACCCCACATGTCGGTCACCTCGTGAGCCAGGTCCAGATATTTTGTCAGCTTATCTGTTTCGGCTTTCACGAGGTTCTCGTCATAAGGAATGGTAATGTCGACCAAAAATATCCTTGACTGTGCCCGGTCCATCAGCACAATATCAGGCTTATTCGCAAGAATGGTCCGGTCTGTGATGATGGCCCAGTCCCAGTAGAACCTGGTGCGGTCATTTTCGAGCACGGCTTCCGGCATGTACTTATAATAAGGCAGTTTCCGACCCACGAGACCGTATTTCAGAGCGAGCTCCTGGTGTAGAATCCTGGCTACTAGGTTGTGCCTACGCAAGTACTCAGAGTTAGAAAGCGACGAACAACCTTTTTAAAAGGCCGGCAACGCATCTGCAATTCCCTCCCTGGTGTTGCAGTTGTTCATGGGCGGCGGTAGTCACTTACCATCAGGTGAGCCGCACGCTCGTTTGCCCCCTCCTATAAAAAAAACCGGAGATGACATGCCTAAGTGATTCACCGGGATGGCGACAAGCTCGACAAATGTCGACGGTGCCATTATTATTATTATGTATTATGGGGGTTATCTATAAAGCTTTCTCATCTGGTTGGGCTGTTTAAATATATAATTGTAAACGAAATATATAAACATACATGAATATCAATAAAATTGAATAAATACATAAATATATAAAAAAACCCAACCAGATGGAAGCCCTCGGCAGGGGAGACCAAACGGCCGAGGTTTAGGGGGAAAGGGAAAGAAACCGGCGGACGATGCATCGAGGAGCACCGCCTTCTGCATTTGAGCTTTGAGCGGTCCGTCACGGAGTCCCAGACGCCTCAGATGACCCGAGAGGCTAACTGGGATTAACCCGTTCGCAGAAACGACCACAGGGATAATTTCGGCCGGCAGACCACCCCACATGTCGGTCACCTCGTGAGCCAGGTCCACATATTTTAGTCAGCTTATCTGTTTCGGCTTTCACGAGGTTCTCGTCATAAGGAATGGTAATGTCGACCAAAAATATCCTTGACTGTGCCCGGTCTATCAGCACAATATCAAGCTTATTTGCAAGAATAGTCCTGTCTGTGATGATGGCCCGGTCTCAGTAGAGCCTGGCGCGGTCATTTTCGAGCACGGCTTCCGGCAAGTCCTTATAATATGGCAGTTTCCGATCCACGAGACCGTATTTCAGAGCGAGCTCTTGGTGTAGAATCCTGGCTACTAGGTTGTGTCTGTGCAAATACTCAGAGTTAGAAAGCGCCGAACAACCGGAGATGACATGCCTAAGTGGCTCACAGGGATGGCGACAAGCTCGACAGACGTCAACGGTGCCATCCTTTAGGATGTATCTCCGATAATTGTTGGTCTTAATAACCTGATCCTGTATCGCGCAGACAAAACCCTCGGTTTCCCCAAAGAGGTCACCGAAACGTAGCCAGTGGAGGGAGGCGACTGTGTCTACGAAAGGATCATGTAGAGCCTTGTAGAACCTCCCGTGGAGCTCCTTCTCCTTCCATACGGTCTCTCGGTCGGAAATGCTCTGTACTGCCGGGACTTGCCATTGCTCGTTGGCTAAGGATAGAGGGGTAAGTCCTTTATCACAAAAAATAACGTCCCTATAGTATGGATCATCCGCTCTCGTCAGAAAGTTATTACGGAGGCTGCACACTTCGCGATTATCCATGGTAAGCGCGCTTAAAAAGCCGCGCCCACCATGCTTCCGCGGCAAGTACAGCCTCATTACTGACGATCTCGGATGATGCATCCTGTGGGACGTCATCATAGTGCGGACTTTTCTGTCCAGAGCGTTCAGTTCGGTCTGAGTCCACCTGAGTATGCCAAAGGTATACATGAGAATAGGCATGATCCAACCGCTATATGCGTGCGTCTTATTCACATCGGACAAAAGGCTATTAAGCACTTTGGTCAAGCGTGCATAAAACACATCGCAAACTGACCGTTTCATACCCGTCTCATCTACACCGATGTTCTGTGACATACCCAGGTATCGGTATGTTTCAGCCTCGGAAAGGGTCCTTATGCTGATGGGCATAAATAAGTCTATGCCCTCAGAGTTAGCAACCCTTCCCCTTTCGACATGGAGGACTCCTCCTTACTCCTCCTTACTCTCTTACTTACTCTCCTTACTCGCGTACTCCTCCTGGACATTTATCCGTCCCCAGCTCCATTTTAAATAGAATTGCTAAAATCACAAGTGATGTTTAGCAATTCCATAAGATGAGAGCGACTGGAGGCGAATAATTTGAGATCATCCATATAGAAAAGGTGGGTCACTTTTGTACCTCCTCTTCGAAGCTGAAATCCCCTCCCGGAACCCTCCAGTAAGGTACTGAGAGGGTTCAGAGAGAAGCAGAACCAGATTGGACTCAAACAATCGCCCTGGAAGATACCCCTTCTTATCCTTATGTGGTTCTCCGCAGCCGTCATTCGCTCGCCTAGATGACAAAGGATCGTACTCCACTGCCCCATACACTGCCCGAGGAAGTCTCGAACTGTACAGTCAACCTTGTACAGCTCGAGGACCCTCTTAAACCATGTATGAGGCACCGAGTCGAATGCCTTTTTGTAGTCTATCCAGGCGGCGGAGAGGTTCCGACGGTTGCGTTTAACCACCTTGCCAATGACCGCGTCAATGAGGAGAGGTTCCTTGGTTCCACGACCACCGCCCCGACATCCATTTTGAGCGCGCGACTTCAACTGGTTTGAGTTCAGATGACGAATGATTCTCGCGCTCAAAATGGATGTTAGTGTCTTGTATATGGTAGGTAGACACGTGGGGCGGTATTTGCTTGGGTCTGTGGAATCCCTGTCTTTAGGAACCAAATGAGTGATCCCAGTAGTGAAAAGGCTCGGGAGCGACTTTTGGTCTAGAGCCTCTTGAAACTGTCGGGCGAGCACAGCGTGACACACCATGAACCCCTTCAGCCAGTAGTGATGCAGTCCGTCGAGTCCCGGACTTTTCCAATTCGGGGCCCTACGGACCGCCTCAGCTACGTCATC